GCTGAGTAAAAGATGAACACAACTTGTTAGCACATTATCATGAAAAGACAGAAGGCATCAAATATATAACTTCGCTGTTCCTCATTTTACTGTTCAATGTACCTGTAGTGAAAAAATATACATTTTTAGTTTTGAGGTTAAAATAGACCATCAGCTGATTATTTCTCCGGGCCCACAGCCTCAAAGACTAAAATGGCTCTTCCCACCTCTGGCTCACTTGAAAACTGGATTTGTGCTGAAGACAAGAAGAATGGCAGTGCTAAAGGAAAGGGTATAACCAGCTCCCAGGGAGGTTACTGCCAAAGTCCTCATACAAGTCAACTCAAAATAAAAACCAATTCAACTCAGTTGACCTAATCTCCATACAAAGGGGCGCCTGCATCACCTGTTCCTTTCCCAAGGCAGGGCTCTCTGAAGGAGCTTTAGGATCCAATCCTGATGTTCAACCAAGTGCTTTATGACCAAACTGGGACCAGAAGTTTCCCTACTGCCACCCTCAAATTCCAGTTCCAACCTGCTAAGTTCCAGTCTTCAGAATCATAAACCACTTTGTCCAATCTCCCACAGTCATGAACTTGGCTTAGAGCAAGACAAGAGAACCCACAAAACACAAAAACCAAACATTCCTCAAGTACTGAGAGCAGAGAACCGCTTCCATCACTAGAACAAGTCCTGTCGAAAACCTGAAATGCTTTTTGGAAAAGGTCCCTCTACCATCATGTATGTTAATTAACATAGAAAACAATGAGATACGCCTAAAAGTGACTGTGCACCTGGGATGTCTCGCCCACATTCACAGTCTGGCTGTTTCAGGAAATGCTTGGTAAGGCAATCTCTGAAAGCCTATTTTGGAGAAGGAAGCAGCGCACAGATTTGGCTTACACTGCTTTGCATGTCTGGCCCTCTTGGTCTGCTGTTCTTACAGCCGCTCTTGGGAGGGTCACATAACTAGCTGCATCTCTCACTGGAAACAACAAAGCCGGGAGGCTCATGGAGTAAGACTCATAAACTGCTGTTGATGACTGATCTGCAGGTATTGGTGGGCAGCCTTCCTTAGCCTGGGCTGAAGGGGAAGCAAGATATGCCTCCAAAGACTCAGGATTCCAAAAGCCTACATCCCCCTTACTTCTTATTAGGAATCTGAACCACACTGAGTCATGATGCAAAATACTATAACAAAGCACCCATAACTAAAGTGTAAATTCAAGTGATCCTTTGAAATCAGTTTCAAAGCATACACCTCAAACAGAGTCAACAACTTGGAAAGAGAAACCAAAGTTACTAGAATGTTCTCTATAACTAGAGGAGAAAAAGACTTCTCAACTGAGATTTCATTTTGTTCACATTCACACTGTTCAAACCACAACCTGCTGAGTCCTACTTGTCAGTAACATGGGAAGATTTGGTTGCTAGGATATTTGTAATTCTTTTCTTAATATTTTAAAAATCAAATTCCCTTAGTGATGTCTTGTCAGGAGGTGTGATTTTAGCTTGTGCTGAACAAATGTTTTTACCACTAAGGTGTTATACTAAAATTGAGATCTTTCCAACTACTACGTTTGCAAATGTCTGTCTTAACTGCAAGAAAAATATCCATTCCAGATTATTTTCTTATTGATCTTCTATTAATAAGCACAGATCTATCATTACCATGGTTATAAGCTCATCTAAGAAATGGACAAATATCATTTAGAAACAGACTAGAATTAAATCACATATGAAGAGAGGAATGCTTTGATGATAGTTCAGACATTACTAGGGAATCAAAGAAAAATTCATGTTTCTGATTACTCACCCTAAACTATGCTGAAATGGAATATTTGCAACCCAAGTAACCCATGCTATATCGAAGAAAACTATAACTTACTACATATTGAGTTCATTTCAATCACAGTAGTCTATTTTAAAAACAAACGCCCATAAGGAATACAGGAATGGAATTCATTCAAAGCAACAGCTGTCAAAAGTTCTGCCAAGAAACCCAGGGTAATTTACTACATCATGAAAGGTGAGGTGTTCAGAAGAACAAATAGTTCAATCCTACTCTTTCAGATTTTATTTTTTGCTTCAATCCAAGAGAAATATCTAGATCTCAAACTTACTAAAACATGTTTCCATATTTTAAAACTGATTAATTAAGTAAATAAAACATGGTAAATAGAAGAAACCCTTCTGATCTATTTTTAGTACTGCTAGTGGCCAGAGGACTCAACTTAGAATCCATAAAATCCAACTCTGTCAATAGCTCCCTCCTTCTATGGATTCTTGGACTAGGAACTGTGGTTTCTTAGGGCCTTGGTTTCCCCAAAGCAGCTGCAGGATATGGGAACAGGTCCTCTCATCTCCGACATCCTACTGTGCAATGAGAAGAAAATGGGCACAGCTCCCAGCTAAGCGGCCTCCTCTCCTAACCAGATCCAAAGCATTTCTCTAATATTTATAAAGCAGTCAGATACTTCCAACTAATTCAAATGTCTGCCTTGATTATGACACACTCCTCCAGTCTACCTTTTGGGTTTGCTTCATGGCTGCTGGATAGGGAGGTGGCCAAAGCAAGAAGCCAAAAACCAGAGATGCTGAGGTACCCAGTAAATTGGTAATATACTGTGCACTCATTCTTGGAATTATGAGACTCCTATGGAGGAAGACTGATTAACAATAAGGTTATTAAGCCCTCATGGATGGGGGCAACATCAACATTCTGCCCACAGATTTCTGCCCAACAAGCAGGTCTTACTCTTGAGTAGTTTTACAAAAGAGGTATAATGGTGACAGCAATAACCCAGTCTTCCTATAAATCACATGAAAGGCTCACAGAAACATTATCAGAAGTTATAATCCTAAATTAAAAATACACATCCTAAGAAAACAGAAAAACAAAGGATGAGCACTAGTTAGGTGACAATGATGTTGTGTGTGTATTTAACTGGTTTTTTTAAAAATCCACTTTTAGGCAACTTAGAAACTGTGGTCACTATTAAGTCCAGTCAGGAAGGTGGGGTGTAGATAGTATTGTTGTGGGCTTTAATGCAATGCCTATCTTAAAATATTGGTGATACTATGCAACACATGAGCCTTTGACTATCCAGTGCAAGTTTTTCCCTTTAATGAACACCAAGCCAACTAAAAAAAACGCCAAACTCCTAATTTGGCTCACTCTTGTTTTGGCTTGATGAGGGAAAAACATGTTAATATTTTTAAAATGTAGAACATAGACTAACATTCTTTAGTTTATATGTCTGCTTAATGGATATGAAGTGCTATCTGGAGTGTGTGTGTATGTCCTGGAAGATTATGAGATAAAGTGCATATGCTAGACTTTCCTGGATTGAATGGAACAAAAGACAAATATGATGTGAAATGTCTGCGATGTGGACACTGTTGATAAAATGTGTTGCAGCCCCCAGTTCTCAGAACATGTGAAAAGAAGTTACCTAAAAAATGTTCCCTCACCCATTCGTATCTTAGAAAAGGTTTAAACTGACTCTGAAACCCTCCCACAGGGACAAAAAAGGCAGCCAAAAGGGAAGGAAAGGGGACTAGAGAAAGAGTTCAAGTCTTAGGATTTTCAAAATCCAAGCAATTCTGAATCCTCTAATATATACAGAACAGAATCAACAATTTGTTTTTCTTTGGAAAAAATCATCTGTTTGAGCATTTCTCTTCTGCCATTAAACTATTGATAAAGCTTGCCAATGGAGTAAGGAAGGATTAAATAAATGCCTACTTCTTCTAACAGCAGTCACCTCTACTGAAATTAAAGGCTTAGTCCTGCAAACTGCAGACCTCTGCTAAACCACTTCAGAAAGGACCTAGCACACGTCCCACAGTATCTTAAGAACTGGTAACCTAACAAAATGCACAAGAGATGGCAAACTTGTCATCAGTATCTTGAACTGCTTTTATTTTTTTTTTTCATTTATTTTTATTAGTTGGAGGCTAATTACTTTACAATATTGTAGTGGTTTTTGCCGTACATTGACATGAATCAGCCATGGATTTACACGTGTTGAACTGCTTTTAAAGCTGGAGAGCCCAGGTATCTGGGAGGGTCAGTCAATTCCCACTGTCAACTTGAGCTTTACAGGATAAGCAGGGGCTATGTAAATTTCTATAGAATACTGGCTTCTGTGATTTGAGCTTACTGTTTTACATCACTTACACTGGAATCGGTCGGCTCCTCTGAACTGCACATAAACCAATCCCTCCTCAAGAGTACACTTCACAGAGAACAAAATAATCATATATCAAGTGTAAGGATTGGCTTTCTTTCATTGTTTCTTCAAACCCAATACACTTGTGATCTGGGTTAAAATAACAAAGAAAAAAATAACTACCAAAGACTGTTGGATTACTGGTAATAATAATTGCCCCTTCTTCCTTAGTTTGAATACCTGGGTTCAAACAACAAATATTCATCAGTCCAAACAGTCTCATCGGCCTTTCACATTTGATGAGTGGTTTCCAAATTCATGCATTTACAGATATATTAACCCATGCAGGATAGAAGTAGAGATCTGGCAACTAGTTATTTAATTTGATTGGGCAAGGCAGTTAGGGCAGATTGCTCTTGTCCAAAAACCTGCGTGAAAGGGCTGAGTTATCTGTGTTGATAGCCTAGCTGGGCCAAGTTAAACAGATCATGGACAAAACTACTACTTCACAGAGGTGTAAGACTGAATAAGCCTTTGCTACTCCATAGAAAACAACGGTCATGTATTATTCATAGCTAGATATAGTATCAAAATGGCACTAGAGAAGCAATTTTTGGCATATATATAGTGGTGGAGGGTACGGTGCCAGTCTAAAGTTAATTATTTTGTTTACTTCTAGTTTTGTTTTTATCATCATCATGCCAAAGACTATCCAACTATCCAGTTGGAATCACAATTATTTAGGAAACCAACCTACTATATATGATATACATATGAAAATAAAACAAGCATCCTGAAGGTACTGGGTTACAAGGTCTTGTACAAATCATAAACTCTTTAAATAAATAATGCTCTAAATTGTTTTTATTTGCTAGAAGATTGGTTTTCAATTAGGAGCAACATCTAACACCTTGAGGAAATACTTAAGAATGGGAGATAAATTCCACTGATAATTACAATTTTAAGTGTGACAATCAGTTGCATTTTTTCTACCACAGTAAAAACATACACGTGAAGCACAAGAGAAAAGGTGATATTGATTACATTCTGCTGCTCAGAGCTTTGACACAGTTTCAGACATCTACGACAAGTAGTTGCGTTGAAACATTCAAAGGAAAGATCTTGGCAGAAAAGGTCACCCACTGTTACTTGAATCTTGTGTGGGGGGCGGGGTCACAATACAGTGACTGGACGAAGTTGTTCCAATTGGTTTTCCAATGCAATCCGTTCTTGATGAACCTCCTGAGTTGTACAAAAGAAAGAGAAGAGAGGGGTCATGTATTGGGATCATCCCCACTTCATCTGATATTAAAAAGAAACTTATGACTGGAACCACAAGCATTCAGGTGTCATATAACTCAAGGATGAGTAGACTTGGAGGCGTTGTATTTGAAGCTGGTGACAGGACACAGGAGGCTTCACAATTTGTAGTCTCTCAATTCCTTTCTTAAGATGATGAAATGAAACTAATTGATCAACCCTCCCTCCTACCCACACCTAAATCTCACACTCAAGTTTTTAACAGGATCAGTGGCTGACACAGAAGGATGTTAAAAATAAAAAGACTGATTAGAAGGGAGCAGAAAAGCAAAAGCAGACTCCTAATACTGAGAGGTGGGTCATCAGGACTACATTTCTAGTTCCAATCTCTTGTTTCTAATCCAGCACCATACTGGATCAGGACCAAGGGATAAGAAAGGACACTGGCTGTCCTTCCACTAAAGTGTCATCCAGGATCCTGCATTTGTGGCTGAAGATGTGTCTTCTCAGCTAAAGGTAGAAAAGAGGATCTGCAGTCTGCTATTTGGGAACTCAAATTCTGAGCCCTAAAACAGACCTAATGACAAAGAGAGCACATAAAGGCATTCTGAAGTAGAATCAGTCAAGGTGGAAAAGAAGTCTATATAAAGACTCAATTCTGAGACATCCCAGAAGAACAAACATGATGAAAATCATTACGGAACTCAACAAGAGTTTATTTACCTACCCTCCTTCCTACCATCCAACAGTCTCTGAATATATATCTACTAAGGGCCCGGTTCTGCTCTGGGTGTGAGGATAACACCAAGGAACAAAACAGTTCAAACCAATGCCCTCAGAGGGCTTATACTCAAATGGCTGGAGAAAGATAAGAAAGTTTAAAAAAAAACAAAGAGATACTTTCAGGAGGCTTTCAGAAGGAAATAAGCTGCTGTAATAGAGGATAATGGTGGATCTGGGAGAAAGGTGGAGAGCGTGGTCAGGGAAGGCTTCTCAGAGCTGACGCTACTGAGAAGAGACTTGAATGAAGTGAGAGGTGAGCCACGGGAAGATGCAGGTGAAGGATATTCAATAAGACAAAATGGCAACAACCAAGGCTGCAAAGGAGGGAACAAGCTTGGTGTGTTTGATAAACCACAAGGCTTGTGTGACCAAAAACAGAGGGGACAATGAAGACGTTGGCAGGAACTAAAGTCAGAGAGTTAGGCAGGGACCCGGCAGACAGAGTAAGGAGTGTGGATGCCATTCAAAGTGAAGGGGCACAGCAATGAAAGCTTTGAATCAGGAAAGGCATGTGGCCTAATTTCAAATTCAGAATTCTCACTCTGTCTTTTGTGTAGACAATGGATTGTAGCAGGACAAGAGTCGGAGCAGAGAGCATTTGGGAGGTTACTGTATGAAACCAGGTGAGAAACGAAAATGGCTTAGATCAAGGTAGTAGCCACAGAGAGGAGGAGATGGATTCTGGACATACTTTAAATCTAGAACTAATAGGACATGTTGATAAAGCTGATGTAGGAAAGAAGGAAGAGGATTTGGAATTGAGCAAGAGGGTGGCTGGTAGTGTGGGATTAATTGAGAACAAGAAGACTGGATGAGAAATGGACATTTCAAGGAGACAGTTGGGAATGAAGCATCTGAGATGTGTATGTTAGGAGAAAAGTAGAATAAGCAGTTGTAAATGCATGTCTAGAGCTTAGAAGAAAGAGAAGAGGGGCTTTAGACATAAATTTGTGAGGTTGGATGGCCTTCAAAGCCATAGGATTAGGTACCATCATCCAGCAAAATAATAAAGATGGTGGTTCCAAGTAAAGCTGGATCTGAACCTATGTACCAAACTCATTCCCTACTGGAACTCTAAAACAATTTTTTAAATTAGGGGTGGGGTGGGGTCATAGACACACAAGGACAGGGAAGACAACAGGGAAGAGGTGATAGCAATAAAACTGGTAAGCTGGAAGACAAACTAATTAATGCTGAATGAATTAGCTAATTCAAGAAAAACAAGTGTGGGGATTCTCCCAGTTGCTGAATACATGTTCCAATGATGCCTGATGGAACTGGACGGAATAACCACAGGGTGGATTTGGGGATAAACTGGACCCACTGTGAGATGTACCTGAGCTTCAGCTCAACTGATCACATGATCTCCAGAAGCTCCTACTCTCACATAGGGACATTCTGGATCTTCAGGAATGAATGTCAGTTTAGAGCCTGTGTTCAGTAAACCTCCCCAAACCTGATGAGTCCCTTTTCCCCAGTGCACAGTCACACTGGTAAATGGGCACAAGGCTCTATGGGGAAGTCTGAGAGAAAGACTAACAATATAAACTTTTGGCTGCACAGTGGGGTCCTTCTTGCAGGTAACTAAGATGCCCCTTTATTCAAGGCTTCTGTATGTGTAAACTCAGTCTGGGAACTGACTGAGAGGCCATGACTAGAGCTCCACTTGATGATTCTTCAGATTTCTGTTAGCTAGACCTTGAACTTTTCACTTCCTCAGATCAAGTAAATAAAAGTGCACTGCAAGCTAAGGATGGAGATAAAACAAGAACCAGTCTGATTTTACATAGAAGAATCCCTAAAAGACACAAAGTGGCAGTCTCAGATATCTATGAAAGTGAAAGTGAAAGAAGGAAAGAGGATTGTCTTAAAGAAGTGTTCCTTGAAAGTCTGATTCAGAAGTAATCAGATTGCCCAATTCTTCTTGCCACTAGGGTAGAACACTGAAGATTTATTCCTTTGAAGGGCAAAAGAGATGACCTCTGGAATACAAATACACGGATACAGTTAAGGACAAAAAACTAGACTGGAAATAGGGGGGTTAAATGAATACCCTGAATACTGAGAACCAGAGTCCTCTGCTCCACTGGACCACGTGTTCCTTACAGGCAAGAGACCAGAAAAGTCTCTTCCTTGAGGAGTCCAGTCAGACCAAGAAGAAAAAGCCAACCACACTGTCTTTGGGGATTCCCCAACTCTACAGCTCAGTCAAATTGGGGGAGAATGAAGCTCAAAGATGACAAGTCCCACAACAGGCTATGGACCTGCAATCTGCATTCTCATCCTCCTCCTAAATAAAAGCAGAGAAGGACCATCAGCTACTGAAGGAAAGTATGTAATGAGAAGTATATACAACAAAATAAAAAAGTACTGAGGAAGAAGAAAAACTACAACTAAGAGAAGATATTACAACCATAAAACAAGAATAGGATGCCATCAAAAAGAAATAAGCAGAGAACGAAAAAAAATGAACTCTTGGTTATTAAGCATAGGAGGTTTAGAGCTTAAAAATAAGTAAATCTTCACATATAGACCAAAAAAAGAAACTAGAAGAAATTAGAAAACAAAACTAAGAAGTTCAGTGTCAGAAAAATATCAGGAAGGGAGAACAGGGAAAATGGGGGGGTCAATAAAAATCAAGAAAACTCCCAGGACTGAAGAATATAGGTTTCCAAATTAAAAAGGCCTACGAAGTATAGAGACCAGTGGATAATAGTGACCTATGCCAACACAAGAGGTGGCGGTAGAGGGGAAGCGAAAGCAAAATGCAAAACAAAAACAAGGTCACATACAAAAATTCATAAAACAGAATGATGTTTGACATTTTTCAAAATTTTATTTTTTATCATATGGTAAAGTTGACTATTTTCCTTTTAGTGTATAGTTCCACAAATGTTAACACATATAGATTTGTATAACTGCCACCACAAAGTGGGTACATTACAGTTCCAATAACCAAAAAGCTCCCTGGTACTACTCACTGACATATAAACCTTTACCACAGGCATAATAACCCTTGACAGCCACTGGTCTGTATTTCCACCACTATACAAAAGTTTGCCTTTTCAAGAATGTCGGATAAAAGGAATCATGTAGTACCTAACTTTTTGACACTGGCTTGTCTCATTCAACATAATGCCTTTGAGTTTCATTCAAATTACTGTGTCTATCACTCCTTCTAAGCTCACTGAATACTATTTCATTGTACTCAGTTTATCCCTTCATCCTTTGAAGGATATTGGTGTTGTTTCCAAGTTTCAGCTATCATGTAAAATTGTTATTAATGTCTATGTACTGCTGGGTCACGGGGTTAAGTGTATATATAACTTCATAAGAAACTGACAAATGATTTTTCAGAGTGGGGTATCATTTGGCATTCTCACCACCAATTCATGAGGGTTCCAGGTGACAGCACTTGATGCTGTCACGATTTTCTGTTTTAGCAATTCTATCACTGTGTGTGGTGGTCTGTGATCATGGTTTCAATTTGCATTTGCCTAATGGCTAACAATGCTGAATATCTTTGCACATGTTTATTTGCCATCCTTATATCCTCTTTGGTGAAGTATCTGTTCAAATCCTTTGCCCATTTTTACATTGGGTTGGTTGAGCTTTGAGAATTCTTATTACTGAGTTTTGAGAGTTCTTTATATAATTTGGACACAAGTCCTTTGTCAAAAAACATGGGTTGCAAATATTTTCTTCCAGTCTATAGCTTGTCTCTTAATTCTCTTGACAGTGTTTTTGACAGAGCTAAAGTTTTTAATCTTGATAAAGTCCAATTTATTGACTTTTTCTGTGTTTGTGCTTCTGGCATTGTTTCTAACCTTGGGTCACAAAAACTTTTTCCTATGTTTTTTCCTACAGGTTTTAAATTTATACCTTTATGTTTTACATTTGCTTCTATGACCCATTTCAAGTTAATCTTTGTATCAAAAGTGAGATTTTTTTGGTCAAGGTTCATGCTTTTACAGATGGATGACCAGTTGTTACAAAACAATATGTTGAAAAGACTATCCTTTCCTCAATAAACTGATATTGTACATTTGTCAAAGATCAAATGCTTATATTCACATGGTCTACTTCAGGACTTCTGATCCTGCTCCACTGATTCATCATTAATTCCATACTGTCTTGATTACTGAAGCCTGATACTGAAAGTGATTCCTCCATCTTTGTTCTTCTTTTTCAAATTTGTT